GTGTAGAATTTCTATACCTCAATGTGTAGGTCGATCATCACTCTTTTGTATGTTACACACAATCTACTAAATACAGACAGCTTCATTATAAAGGAAAATAACAAATATATAATCATAATCTATGACAGAAATACTATTATAAACTAGGTTAATGGATAATTCAGTAGCAAAAGTTACTCTAGAAAAATCATGAGTGCACAATAATTTTATAAAATCCTAAACTTTCAGTGAAAAAAAAAAACATTATTTAGTGAGGATCAAATAAAAGTGAGTAAGTGTAGGACTAAATCTGGAACACATTACTCTTTGTATTGTTGCAAAATACATGCATGAAAAACAAGTCATATATTTATATATAAATATATACTATAGTCAACATTTGAAGTGGATCAAAACCTTTCATCAAAGTTGTACTAAAACCAAAACAATACCCGTTCTTGTCTTAAGACAACTTTGATGACATTTTTGATCCACTTCAAATGTTGACTACTGTATAAATTAAGACATTTCTTTTAAATGTATAGCAGAGTAATGAGGCAGCAACATATGATAGAAAAGTACACGCGATATTTATCTACTCCGGGTCCTAATTAGGCGACGACCAGCACATGAAGAATTATAATTCTTGGGTGAACCATTCTTATGACTGAGTAAATTCTCTCTTTTTTTAAGTTATATTTTTATGATATATATGTGTGTTTGCTGAATGTTAACGATATATGGGAAAGTATTATAGCATCTGTCTTTGTATTGCTAATAATAGAAAGGCAAACACTGCAACACTTTTTCATTTAGTTTTTTCTTCCCAAAACAATTTAAAAAGACAGAACTGAAAAGAGAATAAGAGCTCTTTGTGCATCTGTACTTAGGCGCTGTTAAAATTAATGTCAGATTATAACGCTTATCGCCAAAATAGAAAAAATTAGCAGCTGGTCCAGATAAAAAAAAAAAAACCTAATACTGGCTGAAATACAAAAAAGTCTTGACACACACACACACACAACAACAACAACAAGAGACACTAACTGTAACACCATCACTGGCAGGAATTCCATCACTTCTGAATACTAGCAAAATGACTAAAAATATAACTTAAAAAAAGAGAGAATTTACTCAAAGTCATAAGAATGGTTCACCCAAGAATTATAATTCTGTCATTATTTTCTGACAAAACTTTTTGTGTTCCATGGTTAAAGAAAAAAACAAAAACAAACAAACAACCGGTTTAGAATAATATGAGGGAATAAATAAGGGCAGAGTTTTCATTTTTGGGGTGAACTATTCCTTTTAGATGTGCGCCAAACACAAGCCACAAGAGTTGCCTTTGATCTGTCAATACAGCTGGAATGATAGATGTGAATTGGTCTCTTTCCCTTTAATAACACTATGAGATCAATCATACTGGTCCATCTTCTCTTCACTGAGTGTACGCTGCTTATTTAAGATAACACTACCGTATTAATCTGTAGGATGAACCAGCCCAGAGCTGCGGCCCTATCTCCTTGAGCGGTGTGGGCTCGGACCCTGAGAGGGATATCAGAGCCTGTGGAAATCCAAGTTTTCAAACAAGTGCCACGTTTATATAGGAGTTCACTTTACCTCCGATCATCTCATCCTTTCTTTAGTGTGATGTTTGACTGATGTCTTTTCCTCCAGACCATATGCATATTAATATTTAACTTTTGATATTGAAACTAGCAACAACAATTGTGCAATTACACTGGTATTGCTATCAGCTACTGGAATTTGGTATTGTGACAACCTTATTAGTAAGTATATAAGAGCAGCTCAGGCTGCATCTTTCCTGCTTTTCATAGGGACAATAATGTCATTAAAACTGATACAACAAGCCGTGAAATGTCTTAAACAACAAAGGAGAAAAAAGCAGATTTTACGAAGACTTAGATAACAGAGAAACATCACAGATAAGATGGCCAAGATGGTATGAGGTACCATGTTTGGGAACATTGAGTGAAACTACATGCTGCTTGTATGGGACGCCTTCAATATGTTAAATTGGTGATACTGCCTTCTTTTAAATGTGATGCAACTAAATTTCTAATCCGGTTTGGCCAATCCTGCTCTTATCTACTGCTCTTCTTTTAAAGGTCGAGGTTCTGCTGTCCAAAAGACCGGAAATGTGTTTAAATACAGAATCAATATTTCCTGAGGCAAACATTTGAAAGTTCAAAACTGAAAGTCAAGGTTGAAAGATTTTTAATTTGTATAGATTAGTGCATCAAGTTTTCCAACACGCTCATTGCAATTCATAACTATTTCACATTTTTGGAAATTGGTAGTGAAATTTGTATGATCATTCAAATCATACCAATAAATGTGAAATTGCCAACTCGTAAAAAGTAACATTTTCAGATGAAATTGAGTTGAAATGTTCTTTTATAAGCTAGAATACCAAGAGCTGTAAACAATTTCAGTCAGTTTCAAAGAATCACAAAGAGCATGTTGGGCTAGTTTCCTGACTTACTAAAGACTCTTTATGCTGTTTATTTCTTTATTTTAGTGATATTTGTATAGGTATTATTATCATTTAACACACTGAACAAAAACACTGCTTAAAGCACTTCAAGAAAATTTAAAATACTCTATAAATAACTTACATAACATTAATGTGCTTGACGTTTTTGCATCCAAGGTGATTCATTTAAGGCAGTGGTTCTCAAACTTTTTACAGCGGCGTACCCCCTGGGGCATTTAACATTCTTCTGCGTACCCCCTCTCTCCAACTTAGACCGCAGTCACACCTTTTCTATTAAAGGGTGTTTGCGTACCCCTCACCGTCATCTCACATACCCCAGTTTGAGAACCACTGATTTAAGGTATACATTCTGGGGCCTGTTTCATAAAACAAGTTTACCAAATAAGCCAGGCTTATTTCAATTAGTCTGACTTATTTTGAACCAAATCAACTGACGATAAGTCAGACTAACTGAAATAAACCTGGCTTATTTGGTAAACGTTTTACGAAACAGGCCCCTGGTAGTATGTGTTCCCTGTGAAGTCTTGACATTGCTGTTGATCTGCTAGTTAAAAAAAAAAAGAAAAAAAAACCATTCTCTTAAATCACATCAACTGTTAAAATGTAAAATATGTCAAGATTCCTGATTTTAAAAAAAAGTTAAGAGGTTAAAAGTTACTGTAAATGCCTCTTAAAAGGTAGATACTTTATGTTCAAAGGATTAGCCTTGGCTTCTTGCACTTTCATCTGTACTATGTATACATATTAAAAGGCTGTATAAAGGAAAAGTTCCCTCTAAATTTCAAATGCACCCTATTTTGAGTGGTAATGTTGCAAAGCCATGTACTGTACCTGTGGAGTTACAGTATGAACTCACTCTACATTTCCCTCTGAATTATGCCGTTTGAATGTACCCGAATTATGAGTTTAATGAACTCCCCAGTGTTATCAATGCCAAAAACACTTCCTTCAGTAGGGTGGCCAGTAGCTCATTTATGAGCAGATGGTTAAAAGCTGGGCAGAGCCTCCAGACACTCAGTCGATGTCTGTCATTTAAGACTGTGGTCTGTAGAAAATTCTGTGGTCAATCCCGTGTGTTATATTACACAGTCCTAATTAAGTGAACTTTGCTCATCCAGGAGAATGTTTGTTCTACTGAGACACTGAGACTTCAAATAAGCCACGATGGCTCTGATCTCTTACCCCACCGGAGTGTGTTGGGTCTTCTAAAGATGGAGCCAAAGCAGCCATATAGCAGCTAGAGGTTAGATGAAACCGGCTTAATTAAATTATACTCAAAATATCACCTACAAACAGCACCATAACATATTTAGAGAATATTTCTGCCATCCTGTTCCCTGGAGGTGGACAAATGATGAAATACATGTGATGGTCAGATCCAAGAGGCATTTACAAAATTCCTGACACAAATGATGAAGGCCATGCAACACTAACTTCCATAAACAGGCTTGATGCTACAAGACTGCTCTGCCAGACCTCCCTGCCAAAATGATATATTTCACCAACAGACTGGACCTTTCTTTTCCTCAGATTGTAATCAGTCTTGTGACAGGTTTGGCTTAACTAAGCTCAGATTCAATGAAAGGCACCCCCAAATCAGCTTGCAAGTGGCCCCTTTCCCAAAAAGCTAAGTTAAGTTGGCAGTATTTGTTCCTACTCATCATTAGAGTACTGATAGATGCATAAACCAGACAGTCTTTAAAAAGCAACATGAAACTGTAATTAGAAATTCTGTACATTTAAAACTTAGGGTGCTTTCACACTAGCACTTTTGGTGCGCACCCGGGTTCGATTGACGTCAGAGTTCGGTACGTTTGGATGATGTGAATGCGGTCTTCCGAACTCGGGTGCGCACCCACGAACCGTACCCGAGTCCGCTTAAAAAGGGTGGTCTGGGGTACGGTTCAAGTGAACTCCGGTACGGTTCGCTGCTGATGTGAACGCAATCGTACCAAATCACGGAAGTAAACTGCTATTAATGACGTATTATTTGATAAAAATGTGTGTTTGTGTGTGTTTCACTCACTTTCCTGTAGAGCGTGACTGACGCGCTGCAAGCAGAGAGCTGTATATCTCATTTCTATTCACCTTCAGAGTTCTTTAGAGCATTTGCAGTAAGTCAGACGTTAAGTGCCGTTAAGTACTGAAGCTTTGGAAACAAAACCAACGGTTCAAAAGCATAAATATAAAATTGAAGAGAGCCTTGCTACGCATTTTGCCGTCTTCTCCTGCGCCATCGTTACTAAGCAACGGGGTAAACAGCTGCTGGCTTGATGACGCAAACGAACCGCGGTTCGGACCCAAATAACTCGGGTTCGGACCAAGCAATCGAACCAAGTGTGAAAGCACCCTTAAATTTAAAACTATAAATGTGTGTATATCTATACGCAAGTATATATACAGATATATATACATTAGACTTACAAAAAATAATGTATGAACGCAGTATATGTTTAATGCACTGTATATGTACAATGATATATATACACACATTTATATCCACTGGTCATTTGTATGTCTCGCTTCCCCAAAAATCCCACAGTGATCACATGGGGATCAGTCCAAAGCCCATTAAAGGGGTCATATGATGCGATTTCAAGTTTTCCTTTCTCTTTGGAGTGTTACAAGCTGTTCGTGAATAGATAAGATCCCTAAAGTTGCAAAGACTAAAGTCTCAAACCCAAAGAGATATTCTTTATAAAAGTTAAGACTGGTCCATGCCCTCCTAAAACACCTCGTTTAAACACACCCCCACACGTCTGTCACGATGTGGGAAGATTTGCATTAGGGCTGCACGATAAATCGCATGCAATATTTAATGCGCATCTTGTCAGAAAGCCGGTTCTGTAATCAGCGGTAAATCTCCATCACGTGCGTGCTTTCACATTGAGCAGCATTAACTACACAGAGCCGTTGTTCACTGACAAGCTGCGCACAACCACGATCATAATAAGTTTACTTCCACCAAAGCACCACCACATTATCAGTCTGTACACAACTCTGCAGCCTTTTAAATAAAAAAAACAGAGTTCTGCCTTTGAAATACCTTCAACGCAATTACCAGAAAGCATTAGTAATCCCATCAAAAGCCGACCTCCGTCCTTGAAAACGCCATGAAGCAATGTGTCAAGGTCTGTTTTTCCCCAAGTTTCATTTCATTAAGACAAAACATGGGACTGTTATGTTAATACTTTTGTTTGTTCACGCATTTCATTTGTGCTGTTCTTTTGACATTAAAGAGACCAGGTGGGCTTTTTTTCTCTGCTCTTATCATTCACAATTGCACAATAACATTAGAAGGAATAACACAGAAAACTAGAGATGACATGAAAACAGATGGAAATGGGAAAAAAGGGACAGATGGATGTGTTATGTAAATCTTTGTTCATGGCAGTATAGTTTTTTTTCCCCCTCAAATTTGTAACATCGCCTATTTATTCAGAACAAGCCAATGTATTCTTTTCTTTGTTTTGAGCGCTGACTTTAAAAGCATCTTTCACAGATCATTTTGATTCAATCCACTTGTGGACAGTTTGAACATTCACTGTTCAAAATGATGGAAAAATCAGCCAATTATAGTATTATGCTCCCATATTTTGTTGTTTTTGTATTTTCATAGTACCTATTTACTTTTGCATGGGTCCTCTTGTGCTCTAGATACAAAACAAATGAAAACCCACCCACAGATTTATTTAGTTTTTTATCAGTGCTTACCTCACATACTGGAAAGCTCTTGTCTGAGAACCTGAACCGTAAACCTGAAAAATGTAAAACAAACAGAATCAGAATCATACATCAGATTCAGAGCACATGACATTATGCAAAAAAATGTGAAAATATAATTTGTTCATTTAAAATTAGCCATAGGAAAAAAAAATATTTTATTCAAAACTCATTAGTCATTTCCAAGCCCATCTGATTAACATAATAAAAAAACAGTTTTTGATAGGTAAGAAAAAGACAGCATTCTGTATGGATGCCCCACTTTTTAATTTCACAAGGCTACAAACTGAAGTAACCCCCATTTTTTTGTCTGTGTGAAGCTGAATTAAGTCAAAGCAGTAATTGAGAGTTAGGAGGTGTAATCAACACTGTATATGGTTCATTATTTTAACAAGGTCAATGGGTCTTACCGTCAGCGGCTCTCCCTGTAAAGCCTGCAGAATGAAATTACTGACCACTCTCCCATCATTCATGTGCATGCGAGACCCGAAGGTGTTGAAGATCCGAGCCACTCTCACCTCTACTCCTTCCTGTGAGACACAGGCACATGCGAACCTCATTAACACCATGAGTTCTGCTGCAAGTGTTAATTATTCAGTGAACATGCAGCAATAGGTTTATGGGTTTCAGGATTATATGCAGCTGAAGCTCAAAATGTATTACTAGAGCTTCACTGATTTTGACAATACTGAATTCATACATGAGATCCTGATATCGATGTCTTCACATTTTCATTAGTAGTCTAAAGCCAGATCTAAAAATGCTTCATTTCGTTCCTAAAAAAAAAAATAGTAGCAGCATAACAATTGGACTGGAAAATGTGCATTATTTTCAGAATGTAGTAGTATTTTGGTCTGTTTGCCCTTTTGCTTTATTGACAGAAGCACACAAATATAAGTGGGCCGATCTGTAAACAGTGACAGACAACATCTAATTTCAAGCAATCGTGACATTAATCATAAAAATTCCTTGGCCCACCTGTCCAAATGGCAGAAACTCTCTTATTAAAAAGCATGTGGCCCACACATATTTCAGAGGTGTTGGTCATTGATGGAGGGCCTGTAGCTCTGTCAGCATCACAGAGGAAGATACGCAACTCTTTCATGCTTTTGCATCATGCAAATGCCAGTGCTTTTATATTTCTAGCATTTCATCTCACAACTTACTTTGGGCTGACAATACAGCTATTTCTGTAACAGTATTGGTAATAACTAACCATTACCCATCAACACCCTGGAAGTCGAGAGGTTACACAGCTTAAGGTCCTTGGACTACTATTTCTGCATCCAAAAAAAAAAAAAGTATGTAAAAAAAAAAATCTTTATATGACGGAATTTTCCGTATCAATTTTTCACAGGGGTTTTATCCACATTTTGAATTACACATTGTATTGTGTTGTGTTTTAGGGTTGAAGGAAATGTCCTTAAACCTAAAGGAAAATCTACGGGTAATTTTCTGCCAGGATATTATTGGTTTTTCTATGGACTTTTTGTTTTGTTTTGTTACAGTGTAAAATGCATCATCAAAAAAAAAAACTCTCGAACAGAGTTTAAGAAGTTTGGAGTATCAAAAGACATCGTTTCATTTCCATAGAGCAGTGACAGAAAGCATATTACCATTCATTAAAGGTATTTGCATGCACACTGATAACTACTACAATCAGCTTATTGAAATAACCCTTTTTACTGGTTTACATGCAAAACAATTACCTGGCAACACAAGCAGATGACATTTACAAGACTTTTTAAAATCAGGTTATCCCCTAGCTGTGGCGTCACAACAAAATTATTTGTGTATCTGACTCATTTATGTAGTCAATGGGAGGGGTGATGTTAAATAAAGCATTAAAAACCAGAGCAAGAGGAAACTTATATGGACTCATAACATGTTGCAGTTTCTATGACTGCACCACTCCTCTTCAGGCTAAAGATGAGAACACATTTTTACAATTTCTTGGGTAAAATGAAATTTCCATGGTTACTTAACAGAATTGGATTCTAAAAAATACTAATTGTTTACATTTTTTTTGCACATTAATGTTTTGCTTGAAATTTTGTATAAAGGTTTTTATATTAATATGTAATATGTTACATTTTAAAAATAATACATAATTTTTAAAAAGCTAAAAACAAATGTCCACTCAGAAGACAAGCAATGTGACGGAGTATTTGGACGGAAAATAAAACAGAAAAGACTGGTTATGATGGAAAACATGAAATTATATACCGTAATATACCGTGCAATTATATAAAGTATGAAATTTTATACTGGTTTAAAGGGGAAATGTTACAAATGAAACGACAACAGACCCTATATAAATATCCAAACAAATAGAATACCCTAAAATAATGTGTAATTACACATGTAAGTTGACGTTTAAGTACACGTCAAATTTTCTTGCGATTTTGCCACCTGTCATGTGCACAGATATTTGTCATACATAAGAAATGCATTCAAACCCGGACACGTAAACAGTTGCCGTGGTAATGAACTATGACTTATGACCAACTCATGCAAACTAAATTTATTTGATTCTGTTTATAAGAGGCTATAAATAGAGGCCTAAAATTATTATAAGAAACTACTGACGTACATGAGGACTACAAGTCTCATCTAATTACTCTGACTCATGCCTGTTTTTAATCCAGAAGAAGACAATACAAAGTAGTCTAAATTAATTTAGACTTCAAAATATCTTCTTTTTCATTTCACAGAGGAAAGATTCATACAGGTTTAGAACAACATGAGTGTGAGTAAATGATTTTGGGTGAACTATCACTTCAATGTATATGTTAATGTTAATAATGAAAGTAATGATACGGTGTCAATCTGTCATGTTCATTTAATTGCGTTCCAGAGGTGGTTGGGAGTCTCATGGGACATCTCTGTGTCAGAAAAGGTTGAAAACTGCTCTAAAACACTCCATCATCATGAAGTAACACATCACTATTCTCCACATTGCTCCAAGCTTGCCAAACTAGTAATTCCAATCAAAACTGGGTGAGAAGGCCAGAAGACATGGCCACATCAATTTAAAAAATAAAATCAAAATCAAAAGAAAGATCACAGTGAAGAATCAAAGCAAAGAAAAAGTCAATAATTAAAGCTGTTTATTTCTGTTTAAACATCATCCCCCATTCAATGGAATTGCAAATATAATGATGTTTCCAAACCTGCTTCCAAAAGACCAATATGGACCCTTCTGCATCACAGAACCACAGTGATGACACTCTTCAGGGAATTTAAAATATGAATGGCTTTACTTATGATCTCTGCATAATAAAATGGGACAGGACAAAATATTGTATATCTTTTATATCTAATTATATCTATATATTATCCCTGTTCCATTGAGCGGTGCACAGTGCACAAACTACAAGAATGTAGTTAGAAAACTTTTAAGTGACCATGACATCAAAATTGACAATTCATATTTTTTAATGAATGTTGACGTGTTTATTATAAATAATTTATCGTTGAACTGAATTAACAGCTCTAATATGAGGCATGAAAATAATACCGCTTATAACTGGAAAATATTTCATATTATGATATGAGCTACATAAATCTCTAAAGACAGGCCGTGTAAAGGTAAAACCTGTACTTGTGCCTGCATGAAACACTGGCCTTGAAACAGTGTAAGAGAGAACCTGGAAGTTTAACAGGGATAGTTGGATTTTTAGGTCCAGTAGTTCTATAATTAACTCTGTGGACTTGAATAAAAACATGAAAACTCTCATGAATAGCATTATAAATGAAGGATGGGCTGCAAAAATGCCAGACTTCACATAACGGGGACAAAACAAGGACAGCCTACTTAAGCGGCCTTTTTAACAAGCACTAGCCTGATTGCAAGCCTATTGTGTGATTACACAAACACTATGTGTGTGAGCATGGCACATTTTAGTTGCGATGACAAGGCTGTGTGTTACCATTTTTACTACCGGAAAGACAAGTGGGCTGTGCACATGCACAACCACAAACCAAGTTCAAGCTCAAGTCATTTCCTGATCTCAGGCTGAGTTTATGCACCCCTCTTAAATTGTCCCATTTGTTAAAAAAAGAGACAGAGGCAAAACAAAAAATTAGGAAAATATAAAAGAACAGACCCACTCACGTTAAAGAAATTCAAAATCTCATTAATATGTGTGGCGAAACTTATCACATTTCAACCTAAAGTGACACCTTCAAAATAGCCTTGAGCAAAACTGTAACAGTTTGCGGTGTAAAAGCATGAAGCAAAGCTGTCTTCAGTGAAATAGGCCTTAAATCAATGCTTTCCATTAGGGGACTGAGAAAGCATTTTCAGAGCAATGATGGCTCTCAACAATGCCAGAAAGCTGTAATTCAGGCTGAGCAAACAGTCTCCTGATGACTGAGGTGACAGTAAGACAAAACCAGAGCCATAAGGGTCAAAAGATCAAAGAAGTTCATAAAAGAAACTGCTCGATGAGAGCAGATGATGTAAGGGGATGGGGAGAGAGCAGAGGGGATTGAAGTGGGCTAATTAAGTCAATTGGAAGAAAGGCACATCACGAGACACGGAGGTCAAAGGTGACACATCTGTGTTTTTACCAACCTGCATTATAATTGTGAAGGACACTGATGAATAACCAGAAGAGGATGGAGATTAAATTTGAAATATCTACAAAGTGGACTTCCAAGAATGTAATAACCACCAAAACTAAACAAATGAGACAGGTGTTAATTAGAATTTAGTGCATTCATCATATGTGAGATTGTGGAGCAAACACAATGCGGTCAGAGCTGTGGCAGTGTAGCATACATGCTCTTAAAATGCTGGAGCTGCAGCATTTTTTTTGGGGTTAAAGGGGTCATGACATGAGAAATCAAATTTGCCTTGATCTTTTGGCATATTGGTCTTTGTACCATTAAAACATCCTGTAAGTTTCATAGCTTAAAACGACCTCCTCATTATGAACAAAGCATTTAAACAAGCTCCAAAAATGGCTTTGTGACGAGTGGGGCGGGGCCGAGATCCGTGGGAGCCGTGTTTGTTTATTTTGTTATTAAATGGTTTAAATGTTCACCGGTTCCCCCGCCTCCGAAGAAGGAGGCGGGAACCGGCGAACATTTAAACCATTTAATAACAAAATAAACAAACACAAAAGTAAAGCGGCAGCCCCTCACGGATGACTGCTGCACACAAAACACAAATAAAGTCCAGGCCTGGTCCTCTCTCGTCTTCCACTGTCGTCGTTCCTCCTTTTATCCTTCCGGAGCTCCTCCGTGGGACTCGAGACCGGTGAGTGGTGCAGGTGTCGCTCATTATCATTAAACTCCACCTTCTTTGTTCCGTTCCCACGGCTCTCGGCCCAGCCCAACTCGTCACAAGCTTGTTTGGATCTGAGGTGCCAGATGACATCACCCGGGCACAAACATTTGCATAAACACTGCCTCCAGAGCAAGACATCGACAAATAGTCATCTTCTCACCATAGGACCCGCCCACTGGCGTTCAAGTCACTTAAAGGCTTACTTCACCCAAAAATGAAAATTAGCCCAGGTTTTACTCACCCTCAAGGCATCCTAGGTGTATATGACGTTCTTCTTTCAGACTAATCCAATCGGAGTTATATAAAAAATTGTCCTGGCTCTTCCAAGCTTTATAATGACATGGGTGAGTGTTTTTGTTCAACAAATTAAAACGTTTTGTCCATCCATATTAAAACATGCCTCACATGGCTCCGGTGGGGGGTGGGGGATGGATGCGTTTTTGTAAAATAAATATCCATATTTAAAACAATATAAACAGTTTTGTGTAACTTCCGCTAACTGTTGTACATGCGTTCACGATAGACGTAGGACGCAGGCATAGCGCATGCACGTGTGAGTGTCACGAAAACCAACATTTGTTTACAGGAGCAAAGAAAGCAAAGATTCCTTACTTTAGCAAAGGAAAACCAGCCGACCGGTGAGTGGTGCAGGTGTCGCTCATTATCATTAAACTCCACCTTCTTTGTTCCGTTCCCACGGCTCTCGGCCCAGCCCAACTCGTCACAAGCTTGTTTGGATCTGAGGTGCCAGATGACATCACCCGGGCACAAACATTTGCATAAACACTGCCTCCAGAGCAAGACATCGACAAATAGTCATCTTCTCACCATAGGACCCGCCCACTGGCGTTCAAGTCACTTAAAGGCTTACTTCACCCAAAAATGAAAATTAGCCCAGGTTTTACTCACCCTCAAGGCATCCTAGGTGTATATGACGTTCTTCTTTCAGACTAATCCAATCGGAGTTATATAAAAAATTGTCCTGGCTCTTCCAAGCTTTATAATGACATGGGTGAGTGTTTTTGTTCAACAAATTAAAACGTTTTGTCCATCCATATTAAAACATGCCTCACATGGCTCCGGTGGGGGGTGGGGGATGGATGCGTTTTTGTAAAATAAATATCCATATTTAAAACAATATAAACAGTTTTGTGTAACTTCCGCTAACTGTTGTACATGCGTTCACGATAGACGTAGGACGCAGGCATAGCGCATGCACGTGTGAGTGTCACGAAAACCAACATTTGTTTACAGGAGCAAAGAAAGCAAAGATTCCTTACTTTAGCAAAGGAAAACCAGCCTCCTCTTGGCTTATATCGAAATCCTCTGACATTTTTCTTTACAAATCCTCGTTTTGTACTTCTAATTTGTGACTGGCATTTTGTTTTGTTCTCTCTCCGTTGCGCTTCTGCGTTCGTCACTAATCATCGGTGCGTGCGTGCGCTACGCTCGTTCGCTTTCTGACACAGTCCATGCGCTTGAGTCTGTCAATAGGACAAATGGAGTGAAAGAACATTCGCTTTGCTTTGTATTGTAAACGAGGGACAGTGTCATGAAGAGTTCACAAAGAAACATTTGTTAAAAGATGAAGCGGTACTAGATCTTACTGCAGCTGCATCACAACCCCTAAGTGAATGCTTTGTCTGGAAATGACCGTTTTTTTTCTCTCCATGTTGTCGAAACACACATGCAATAGCGAGGGGGCGTTTATACTGTTTCCTATGCAATGATGTTAGCCAATCATAACAGTGGCGGATTACTGAGAAGGACACGCCCCTTAAAACAGGTCGTTTAAAACAGAGGGTCAGAATGAGGTTTGAAAATAATAATTTTTCCACATATATATATATATATTTTTTTTTTGGTGCAAAAAACTTTCAACATTATAAGTGAACCTCAAGGAACATATTAAAATAATAAAAAAACATGTCATTATGACCCCTTTAAATTGATTTTATACACATCACATATCGCATTTCAAATTATTTAACATGTTATGGCATATCATATTTTTCTTCAATATTGTGTAACCCTAGTAAATAGCATAAGAAATAAGTACCGCTCCCATACTACATGTCCTCTGAGCATTCACATAGTATCCAGATCAATATTTAAATGTATTTATTCATTCATTTAAACTATGTAGGCTATATCAAGAACTTTAATAAATATGCTTTTGACATTGAAAAAGTAGAGACTTTATCTGTAAATGTAACTCTTTCAAATCACAAAGGTGTAATAATGTGAGGTCAGAAGAGAACAGAGTCTGTCCGGAGTCAGCGGAAAGCAAAAGCAAAATTAGATAAATAGGAAAGTCAATTGCTATGGATGGAAGGAAGTGCATGAATGGAAGAGTAAATCTAATTGAGTATAAATGAATGCAGTGGACTGATAAAGCACCTCCACCAGCCCAATGATCACGTCTCAGACACAGAGATTAGGATGGGTGGACTGATAAATATGAAAAGGAGAGCCCCTTTGTGTAGGAAAGGGAAAAAAAGAAACAAGACAACAATAAAGCAAGGGGAGGGCTTTGGACAGAAGAGAGAACGGTTCATTTCTATGTCCTGGATTTGATGATTTTCATTACTAATCTAAAGTTGGACTAATGGAAATACAGCCTTTCATCACTACAACCTCATGCTTTCATCAAACATGAATATACAGTGGGTACGGAAAGTATTCAGACCCCCTTAAATTTTTCACTCTTTGTTATATTGCAGCCATTTGCTAAAATCATTTAAGTTAATTTTTTTTCCTCATTAATGTACACACAGCACCCCATATTGACAGAAAAACACAGAATTGTTGACATCTTTGCAGATTTATTAAAAAAGAAAAACTGAAAAATGCTCAGTATTTAGTAGAAGCACCCATTTGATCTAATACAGCCATGAGTCTTTTTAGGAAAGATGCAACAAGTTTTTCACACATGGATTTGGGGATCCTCTGCCATTCCTCCTTGCAAATCCTCTCCAGTTCTGTCAGGTTGGATGGTAAACGTTGGTGGACAGCCATTTTTAGGTCTCTCCAGATGCAATATAACAAAGAGTGAAAAATTTAAGGGGGTATGAATACTTTCCATACCCACTGTACATCTAGTTTTATAGGGATAGCTCACCCAAAAATGAAAACTGACTTGCTTTCTTCTGTGGAAAACAACACAGGATATTTGGAAGAATTTTGATAAACAAACCATTTTGGTGACCATTGAATCTCATTGTATGGAAAAAAACAAAAAAACACTTTGACATTTAGACTCCAACTGAATGACCACATTTTCATTTTTGTGTGGACTATCCCTTAAGGCTGTGTTTTATGCAAAACAAAAATAATCAAAACTGGCATATTATCCTCAATCTGCATAAAAGGTGGTAAACAGGGGAAAAAATTATCTTCTGAACAAACATAAGACAGACTATTACTTCAAATAATTGTCAAACAGCCTTTATCTTTCTCAAATGTCACTGAATTAAATTTTAAAAGGACATGCCAGATGCCACATGTCACTGATGATATTCAAATCAAACTTGTGAGGGAGAATTTCTCATGTGGTGACACAGAGCGGCAATGCATGTACTGAAGGAACAATGAATATGATAAAGAAAATCTGAGACTGACACCAAGTGAAGAAAAACAGATCAAATCAGCTGCAGCAAAGGCTGGTGCCAATCAATCACATCACAGTGTTTAACAAAAAGACACAGTCAGGAAATGAATGTGTCACAAAGAACCAGATGATCATTGTGATCTTGCCTGCGTGTCAACCAAACACAGCCCAAGATTATCAACCTTTAGGTAACACCAAGGTGCTTAACAGGTGACCCAATAGACTTTATTTTGTCATTACATCTAATTGTATTTAGCCACTAAAAGTGAGAATTAGGTACTGTGTTTTTAATTTCGCATCAAATACAATATGGTTTTAACTGACGACGTAAATCTATTTCTCACAAAAGTGCATCACTCAAAAGGCCATACTATTTGGTACATTAATGACAGAGCAAAATATTCAAAATAACTACCTTCTGATTATCTAACCCAGGGGTGTCCAAACTCGGTCCTGGAGCGCCGGTGTCCTGCAGAGTTTAGCTCCAACCCTAATCAAACACACCTGAACCAGCTAATCAAGCTCTTATAGGCATACTAGAAACTTCCATTCAGGTGTGTTGAGGCAAGTTGGAGCTAAACTCTGCAGGACACCGGCCCTCCAGGACCGAGTTTGGACAGCCCTGATCTAACCTCTGGAAATGATCTTGCGCTGTACCAGGGAACTTAATCCCAATCTGTATAAAACAAACTTTACACATTTATAAAGCCACCTAAAGTATTTATTTTTATTTTATTTTTTTAATACATTTTAGTATGAAAGTAATTGGTGAATCATGATTTGTTCGTTAAACATGTCTTTATGCAGATTTCACACACAAATTTGTGCAAATGCATATTTAGGGAATAAGACCCACTGTTTCCATCTAAAAATGCTGCTAATGGTTTGGCTCACCATTTCAGTTTCACATTTAATTTCTCATCAAACAGTGCATCCATCCACGCTGTTGTGAGGTTGCCAAGCTGCCTTGTTTTTCCATAAAATTATTTGTCACTCTTCCTAGCATAGAAATTTTAGCCCTTTGATGTATAAACAATATGTGAGACTCTTGCATCATTATTTCAAGTCCTCCATGGCTTTGGAGGTCTAAGTTCAGTTAGTGACTTTACATTATATTACATTACAATATATGTATTAGCTTCTTTCTCCAATTATAATTGGCTCTCAGACAGTGTGTATTTTTATATGTTATGTTGCTTGGATAAGAAAGTGACAGCAAAGAATATTGAGTAGACTGGAAAAAGAATATGAAGGCACATTTCTATAGTTCTCTATGTTAATACACCTCGAGAGCAGGATGAAAAAAATTAAATACAGAAATCCATCTAATTTCACTCATACCTGTTTCATGTAGGCGTAACACATCGTCTCAGCAACACGTTTCCCTTCATCATAACAGGCCCGGGGGCCAATAGGGTTCACATGACCCCAGTATTCCTCATTCTGGGGGTGCACCTCTGGGTCTAGTTGAAGACACAAACACACAAACATGATATACAATACACAACCTCCTATGGTTCACATTTAACACAAACATTTTAAATTGTAAAATGAGGGAGAACTACAATATAATGTCCACACAGCCATTGCCCATACAGCCAAAATGAAAAATTTGACATTTTTATAAATGGTCGCAGTACATTTCTATGGCCACAGAACTATGAATAGATAAATGATTTAAAAGACTCTGGCAATAAATCATAAAGACATACAAAGTTTCAAAACATTTGATCTAGGTCTGACATTAAAACTTCATGTGACTTGTTCGAACATGCTGATGATTCATTGACAAAATAAAGAAACCGCTACTTACATAACAGATAGCACAAGTGATTCTAGAGGACCTAAGACCTTTTCTCTCTGCTTTAGTTTTTAAAAATCACTACTGTCAAAATTACTGAGATTATGTGAGACTAATGCATGTGGTGATTGCTGTGAAACAGCCTATTAGATTAGATTGCCGTACACAGCTGTTATTTCTGACAGATCTTCCACATCCGCACTCCATTCATTACGTGCTTGTGTGTGGCTGAATAAGTGATAGAACCAAATTCCAGTCACACATGAAATTGTGGTTGTGTGATTTCCTGTTGGACATCAGAGATGACAATAAGCACTTGCATATAATAGCTGCACCAGGTCGACAAACTACACCATATTCCGAACAAATGAAAGGCAGCTGTAGAAGGGATTTAATTTCTGTAAACTGTATGGATGACTCCTGAAATCAAAACTGTACAGTTGCAATCAAAATTATTCAACCCCCTTGACCTACAAGACATTCTGCTACCATGAATACATTTTTATGAAAACAATTAAACCAAGGCAGCAGCACTAGAATATAAAGTTTATTAGTACACCTTTGAGTGATTCTGAGAATGCTGAAAAATGAAGATGATGAAAAAAAATAAAAAAATCTAATTTGCTCTAAACATTCATGTCAAAATTATACAAGACCCCCAAATGCCCTATTCATTCTTTATAACCTCCAGGTGCTTTCAAGCTTCTGTCACCTCTCTATTGCAATCCTGGTCCATTCCGAACTTGGAAAAGCTTCTAGCTCACTGATAATCTTTGACTGTCATATTGCCACTGCTTTCTTCAAATCCTTCCAAGTATTTCTGATGAGACTGAACAGGCCACTCAAGAACATTCTATGACCAATCCCTGCACCAATCTTCAGTAGATTTGGATGGATATTTTGGGATGGTTGCCTGCTGGAAAGTCCAATGATCATAAAGTCTATGCACCAAAGATATTAACATTTCTTCCAAAAAGCTAATACTAATATAAAGAATCAATGAGGTCTTTCATACAGTCAAGATTTCCAGTTCTTGAAACAGCAGTTACCTCTATAACAAGACTGGTCCACCTTCCTGTTTGACCATATTCTTCCACTCATTTTTTCCTCCTTTCATCTGGTTATATTGCAATTGCAATCTTCTTGTAGCCATACACTTTCTAATGTATTAAAACAATTTGTTCTCTATAGTTTTGTGAGAGCTCTTTTGACTTGGCCACATTTGCTACTCTATTTCAGCACATGCATGGGCTAAATTGTTATCAGTTCAAATTAATTCAGTTTAACTATAGAGTTTCCAAAGGTTTAATTGTTTTAACAATTTTGTACCCAACAATACAAATAAGTGACTTTAAAACAGCAATGTGTAAGAGGGGTTAAATAATTATGACATAGCTGTATATCCTAGAACTCAAAAATATTACATTATATATTGACATTATCACGTTTCAATTTTGAGAAATAAAGTTGACCAATAAAAGTTTACATTCAATTGATATAATTCCCTCAATAATACTTACACAAGTATAGCACAGGGCTTATGCAAGTCCTTATATTTGTTTATGTCCTCAAACATATTGTACTATTCAGTGAAAAAAAAAAAAAGTGGTACTTGGATTTCAATGCAATTCAACTAACGTAAAAAGAAGAATAGTAGCTCTTAAGTTTGAAGGCAATGAATGGCCCAACAGCTGAATTGATGGAACTGTCATTTTCTAATGATACTAGTTTTTCTTTCTTGCATGTAATGAATGCCATTTGTCCAGCTTAAAGATACTAAAGAGAAGAGCAAATAAAATAATAAACCTAAAAAACAAACAACAAAACCATGACCACATGTAACTTGGAAGCTACATTTCTCTCTTGATGGACAGAGATCTGTGTTCATTCCCAAATCCCAAATGAGTCGATTATCCAACCATCAAACTGCAGAAGATCAATTGCAAGCTCGTTTTCAGTCAAAAAGAAAAAAATCTAAACATCTCAAAGAGATGTGGGATTAACCAGAAAAAGGCTTTGTTGAGTTGTTTCAGGTGCCACAACCTCTCAGCAGTGTAATTATTGCTTATTTAAGAGATGTGCAAGTGAATTGTTCAATTTTTCTTTCTGTGACTTGTTGAAAATAAACCAACAACTTAAACACAATTGTCTGGACATTCCCTTAGCCTTAAGAGACGATTTCTCCTCTGGAAGACATCTTCAGACTTCTGACTTGGAGAAAGCATTCTTGCATTTACCGTTTGCCTCCAAATTGTATAAACTACAGGTTTTGACATGGACAACTTGGCCATAATATTTAATTTCCTTTTAGGCCACATTATTTGTGTGGTAATTCAAGATTAGGGATCTTAACGGTATGAAAATTTCTCATCACGATTATAGTGACCAAAATGATTTGTGAACAGGAGTTTCTCTTTAGCTATGTTATAAGCTGGGCTTCGGATGCTTCACTTTCGAATTTGCGATCTTGGTGTCACGTTTTACAAGAAAAGATAATTGTCTGATTTGCTTACATACATATTCGCGTCATTTTTGCTTCGCGCTCCTGCTGACGCGGCGAGTATAAACCAAGCTCTTCTCTCTATATGCGCGGTGCAGCTCAAACGAGTAGCGCGGTTTCGTTATGCTTTCAGTTTCGTTTGCCTTTTGATGTTTTTCATATGCAACAAAAATGCAGCGCTTATGAGTTAAACAATGCGGTGGTCGCGCCAGTGCGACCGCTCACAAAATGTAGTCGCACGGGCAGAAAAAATTATCGCAAAATGCGCCCATTTGGTCGCACTCTGAAGCCCTGTGCAGTACAAAATTTATTTATCCGGTAATCGTTACATCCCTATAAGATATGGTACTGCATGTGTAAAAATACAGTGAACATATATTTACTCACGATTTATCGTCAAACCGGTAATCGTTACATCCCTATTCAAGATGAACTCAAAGCAGCCTCCACTACATCACTTCCACCACCATTCTTCACAATTGGGATCAGGTATTTTATAATTTCATAGAACAGTCATAAAGTTCAACCTCTACCTAAATCTTGTCAGATTCCAGACTCATGCACACTCACACTGACTGAAGCACTCCTTCCCTCTCCCTTCTAGCTTTTGATTTCAACTAGGGTTGCAAAGGGGCGGAAAATTTCCGGGAATTTTCCGGAAACTTTCCATGGGAATTTCATCTTCTATTTTAAATAAACACTGTAAAAAAAAAAAAAAAACTCTTTATTCAAAGAATCCTGAAAAAAGAATCCCAGGTAATAAAAAAAAAATTTTAACGGCACAACTGTTTCCAAAATTTATTATAAATAAGCATATTAGAATGATTGCAATGTTTAAAACATTAAAATAGTAATGACCAGTACTGTACCTCTGTATGATAACCGAAAACTGGAAGAGCATCACAGCTTGAGCTAGTTTATACCTCATAAATTGTCAATTAAATAGTGCTAACTCGCTTAGATTTTTAATAGCTTGATTTTACTGGCTAGCTAGCTACTGTATAAACACTTTTTGGTATTTAATAGTTAAACTTGAATCCCATAGATCAAATATATTTAGAATATCAAAACTTAGATGTAGTCTTTGGGCTCAAATGCAGCAAGTGTGGATTCAGAGAAAATGGAGGGGAATCCCCCTCTTAAGCCCGTTCACACTACAAGCGACAAAGCGACACACTCCCATTAATTTCAACGGACAGCTGGCAATTTCCGGCGACAAGTGCGACAGCGGCAGTTGGCGACGGATGGGGCGTGTCCAGCGACGCGACAAAGTTCAGAATCCTTCAACTTTATGCAAATGAAGAGCGACTTTCGGAAGCGACAGCCAATAGGAAGAAGACGGCAGAGCTTATGTGATCGTTCTCCTCTCAGCCGTAGATAAGCATATGCAATGGAAAAAATTAGGCTCTGTTTTCATTCATTTTTGTTTGTATGTACGGATTTAATTCAGATTTATATTATATTTAGTCTTTTGCCTCCAAAATGTTTGTATTTAGCGGCAAGAAACCTGATTCGTTGTCAAGGCAACCAGTAGTGAGAACGCCCTCTAGTTAACCTCATCGCCAGCCCCTGGTGTGAACGCAGCTTAGGTGACTAGAGGGGATTGTGTGTGGGGGAGGGTCATTTTTAGATCCCGGAATTTTGCAACCCTAATTTCAACTCAAAATGTGGTATAGACATATAGCTAAAGTGCTAAAACTTCATGACTACAGGTCTCTGATGTCAAAAACCAGGTGCACATTGATAGATTTGTCAGAAATGTAGGGTCAACTGTTCTGCAGCGTAACTACTTCTACAACAGATTTCTAATGAAGTACCAATAGGAGCACAGCAATTTAAGTGTAAGTGTGTTTATGAGAGATATAAATATTAATGCTAGTTTATCTCTCCGATAAATGTCTCGTTATTTAGTGCCCCCTTTGCATCACTGCTAGCATTAAAATGGAGACATTTGTACACGTACCTCCATACACTTCTGAAGTGGAGGCGAGGAGCAAACGAGCTCCGACTCGCTTGGCCAATCCTGTGAACAGAGAGAGACATGAGCAAATCGGTTGTTAAATTGTATCTAACCAGACAGAGTCTGACTCATCAATCAATAAGTGACTCCCATTGGATGAGTCAGAAAAACCTAAACCAGACATCAATCAGAAAAAGGCTACAAGGAAGAAGCAAAGATATCGCGATCAGGATATCAGTCAAAGAAAAAATGTGTGCAACAATCCACCTTTCACAGCTTAATGTTTGTGCATAACTGCTAAAATCTCATTATTTTCATTAAATGTTTTGACTGGCTTGAAAAATGTTTAGATAGTCACTCTATTACAACAGGACATGCACAGGATGTACAATATGAATGATTATCTACACACTGATGCATTGAGATTTGATTTAAGCTTATGTTTCCCTGACACACACACACACACACACACACGTACGTGTAGAACATTTTATTACATCAGTTAATGCACATATCACAACAGTAGTGGTCGACCGATATTGGTTTTTTGACAGCCGATGCCGATCTCTTGGAAAGCAGGGTGGCCGATATAAAGCCGATATAATTGTATTTATTTTAATTAATATTTAAGAAAATTAATTTGAAATCATTTGAAAATGGATTTAAGTATGTAAAATGAACATACGTATACTTTAGATGACAATGTATTTTTCACAAATAAATAAATATTTAATAAAAAGTCAACATTGTAACCAACAGGGCACTAAGTAATCTGGGAAATTTGTGTGCATTGGGAATCATATTTTTTTCCAAATAAAGCCAAGGTAACAGTCATTTTACATACAGCACACAGTGAAAATGACATGAATATGGCAGTGGGCAAATGGATAAAGCGCAGCATAATTTGAAATCACGAGTTTAAAGATAGTCGATCGCGCGTCTCAGTGAAGCTGAACTCTCCTCCTGTCCGCACCGATACCGATACCAGTATCTGTATCGGTGCATCCCTACTTCAGATATACGGTTGTCTGAGCGCACACATCCGAAGCACATGGACAGAAAGCTGATGTCACAGCATGTGAGTACAAAACTAAGTTCTCATTCACACACAAGTTTACTTTAAAAACACATGAGTTACAAAAACAGTCGGTTATGTCTGTGAAGGTAAACAGCTGGGAAATAAATCGCTTGTTTATTTTAGATCTGTGTGGCAGCAGCAATATACAGTAGCCTAAATAAATCAATAAATCCACTGCTCTTGTGTGTGTATGTATGTGTGTTTTAGCTTAGTTTTAATGTAATCTAGAATAGCCAATAAATTCGTGTTTCATTTATAAAGAATCATTGTCTGGTGTCGTATAATTTTAAAGTCAAACCTTGCCAAGATCACGTTACCTCGCTAGGAGCTTACAAATTATCATAATTGTATTGACCTGTGGCCAAGGAAAATACACATAGTCAGATGGTTAAGATACACGGACATTAACGTCTCGCTGGACGACCGTTGATAAGGAGTAAACCATTAAAATTTGAAATCAGTTCTAATCAGGTTGACTTCGAATTTTCAGATTCGAGTCCTTTCAAACCCTGAATGAATTAATAATAATTAATTCCCTAAAATTAAGTAATCAGATATTACAATGTGGAAAATAATGTGTTTTACCAAATACACAAAATAATGTTATTTTTAGCAACATCATATGACCCCTTTAATATGTGTGCACCACTTTATTCGTCCAGGTTGCCTTGACCATGTATTTTTAAACTGCGGCTGGTCGGTTTTTTAATATGGTATGTCAAGCTTAAAATAAACACCCTGTCTCAAGAGCCTGCAATCTGTTTCTTGACTACTTTCGCTCATCCCAACTGCACTTTAATTTGCAGCTGAAAGAAAATTAAAAATATTTAATTAAAAACACAAGAATTTTAAGAATGACAGGCATTGAAATTCTGTGGAACAGATTCCATGTGGACCTGGCAATAACCTGCACAAGCAATTACATGAAATTGCAAGCATGAGACGGAAAATAGATTATTTCAAGTCAACACAGAAATGACAACTCAGAAAACTCATCCATCACCAACAAAAAAAGAAAAAAGGCATTATGGTCTTTTACTGCTGTACTTACAGACAGTGGACATCTGATTGAAGACTCCAAAGAGAGTGCAATGTGGATGATTGAAAAGATGCTATACTTTCCAAAACTGACAGGCAGAAGATTAAATTGAACTAAATGGTTTGTACCTGCTGCAATTTTCTCTCTTTACTCTAAAAAGTCTATCACCAAAGCCATAGTCTGAGTTACAGATTGTTGCCTGGTAAACAGTACTGGGAAGCCTTGTTAGTTTGTCTGTCAGTTTAAATATTTTATCTCCAGTCTGAACTGATACTGTTTAACCGCAAGCAGCACAACAACATTGTTTTTACAAATTGTTAACACCAGATTTTTTGAATGACCTTCACGGATATTCCCTAAAATATCTGATGTACAAGATTAGACATCATCAGTAATGGTAGAAGAGCATGTGACAACACAAAATTATGATACAAAATAAATCTTAAAACAGGTCATACATCATGCTGAGCTAATTTTTTTGTGTTTTCAGGGAGTCCAATTTATACTAAGTGACAAAGACATTGGGAGCATCTTTCTGTGATCTCTTCTTGGTTTTTCATTCAAGAAGTGAACTACTCCTTTAAATCCGCTTCTCATATAAAGTGATCATATGTGACCCAGGACCACAAAGTCACTTGAGTCGCTTGGGTATATTTTTAGCAATAGCCACAAAAAACATTGTATGGGTCAAAATTATTGATTTTCCTTTTATGCCAAAAATCATTAGGATATTAAGTAAAGATCATATTCCATGAAGATATCTTGTAAATTTCCAACCATAAATATATAAAAACTTAATTTTTGATTAGTAATATGCATTGCTAAGAACTTCATTTGGACAACTTTAAAGGCGATTTTCTCAGTATTTTTATTTTTTTGCACCCTCAGATTCAAATAGTTGTATCTCGGCCAAATATTGTCCTATCCTAACAAACCATACATCAATGGAAAGCTTATTTATTCAAATAACTTATTTTAAAAAATTGACCCTTATGACTGGTTTTGTGGTCTAGGGTCACATATCTCTTCAGAAGACTTGGATTAAATGCATAGATCATATCGATCATGAACTTTCTAAAGCAGGGGTCTCCAATCTTATTTCATTCAGGAGCTACTTTTTAAAAATGAATGCGGCTAAGAGCTACCAATGTTATACAATACTTAAATCTCTTAAATATAACTCCAAACTGTTATACACAGCATTTTAAATATGTGCTGGAAATATTAAAAAAAAGTACTGATACACACACTGAAATCATTTTAACAAGTTTTATGACAAAAGCCAACAAATAAAATTAGCACATATGCACTTTTTGTTTGCATAAACAGTGAAATAAAAACATTTAAAAATGATGGCCGGATTTTAAACTAACAAAAAATATTCATAAAAATGTTATCTACTGACATGCACTACATGTTCAAATAAAGTTTTGCCCATTTTTTTTTAAAAATAAAATTATAACATTTCAGCCTTTAAATCTTTTTTTTTTTAATAAAAAGGATGAGTCAGAATGAAAAAAAAAAAAAAAAAAATCTGCTCTATAAATAGTTCTGCACGTTAATGTGCATTCTAAAAATCTCAATTTCTGATAACAAGGTCAGCTATTTTCCATTGACCGGTTAAGATTTACAACAAAAATTTGGTCCAATTTTCGCATTGAGCAAAAAATATGGCAGACAGACTGATTGAATTTGTAAATCCACAGTTTGACAACAGATGGTGCTTATGAACAACAGAACAGAGCTGTTTCCACGGTAACCTCTGTAAACAAAGCTGCCCTGCACTTCTAAGCACTACTATATTACACATTACACGCAGGGACGGACTGGGAGTAAAAAACGGCCCTGGATTTTCTCCCAAATAGGCCCACCACAACTACAAACAGCTGCTTCTATCACACAATATTACAGCAATCAATGCATTGAATTTATGGCAAATAACATCACAAAACCCACGGTGACCCTGCTGAAAAAAAAAACAATAGAAACCATCACAGAAATTCTAATGGTTTTCACTACAAAAGCCATTACAAACCATCAACTTTTAATCAGTAAAACCATTAAATAATGGTTTCCTGTAGTGTGTTTTGGGACATGTTCCATTAGGATTTAGTGGTTTTAACAATAATAATATTTAACAACAATAATAGGCAACCAATTACCAGTAGAGACCAATAGACTCCATTACAATTTCCATTAAAACCTATACAATTTCCATTATAACCAGTAAAACCATTACAAATTCTATTGATGGTTTCTATCGTTGTTTTTTATTTCAGCAGGGGCTTGAAATAAATGTATTATTATATGAACTTAAATACTTGAAATCTACATAAAAATAGCAGAAAGCAAAAATGTATAATAAACCATAATGGATAATAAACATAAGATCTAGAAACCTGAAAACTACAGAATTCTTCAATTTGAGTATTCATATGTCTATGTGTGTGTGTGTCATGTTAATCGGAGCAATCACCTTATAAGCTACTTGATTTACTCTATTTTCTAAATCAATATCTCTCAAATGTAACCCCTTGTAGAATCGCTGCTGTCTCTTTATGAATGAATGGAATATTCATGTCAGACAATGCAAAGTGATTAACAACATTGGACACTCGGACTAGGGGTGTCCTGGGATTTTACTATAGTGCTATAGGCTATGTGCTCTATAGTGAGAGAGGCGGGCAAAGGTAACCTGATGTAACTGTTCGCTTTTGTTTTATTTTAGCTTATCCCAAACACCTTTATCTTCACGTTTTTTGCTTGCCATCAGGAGCCCTCTCTCCTTCACATTAGTTTCGGTTTATTATAAGCAAAAATAGATTGCATTAGCGCCCCCTTTTGTCGGCCGTCAACGTCTCTTAATTTGACACTTTTTGCATTCTTTCCCTCAGCAGTCTGCCTTCAGTCATGTTTTCACACAAAACGAAACTACTCTGCGTGTTG